TCTTGTAGCTCTCATCTTGCAGCTCTCGTCTTGTAGCTCTCATCTTGCAGCTCTCATCTTGCAGCTCTCGTCTTGTAGCTCTCATCTTGCAGCTCTCATCTTGCAGCTCTGGTCTTGTAGCTCTCATCTTGCAGCTCTCATCTTGCAGCTCTCATCTTGTAGCTCTCATCTTGCAGCTCTCATCTTGTAGCTCTCGTCTTGTAGCTCTCATCTTGCAGCTCTCATCTTGCAGCTCTCATCTTGCAGCTCTCGTCTTGTAGCTCTCATCTTGCAGCTCTCATCTTGTAGCTCTCCTTTTGTCACAAGCTCTGACACTTGTTTCCATTTTTGGGTGGTTCACCCTCAGCCACCTCCACTCCTGGCACCTGTTTTTGTTCACCGGTCTCTCATCCATAAACATGGATGTTCTTCCTTCTCCTGACTTTCATTCCTCTTCTCTCCAGGCTCTCTTCCACCTGCTCCCTTCTCTCACCTCAGAAGTTATCCACAAGTCGAAGTGCTTGACTCCTGCCTGACCTCATCCGTTTGGCCACCACCACTGAAAAGGGTTCAAAGCCGATCCCTTTATTCCCACCTTGAACCTCTACTGCACATCTCATCATTTTCCTAACATGTCCTGCCCTACCCTCACATGCTTCACCACACCTGACTTCGTCACAAACAATCCCTCCATGCTCAGAGTTAATCATCAGAGGAGCAACTTTATGTGCAACAAAGTGAGTTTGCAAAAAATGCATTTCTATTAAAATAAATTGAGTTTCAATCCTCACACTGTGCAGTGTGTATCAGTGTGTTTATTGTGTGAGCAAATAAATAACTTCCTAAACAAAAAACTAGCAGCTCATGTTATCAGTTCTGCTGAGAAGGCAACTGGATCCAGAGTCTTAATAATCCAGGACCTTAATAATCCAGGACCTTAACTGTTGGTGTATTTATACCTCTGTTGTTTTTTAATATTCTCTGTTATTTTTTATCTTGTGTGATTCCTTGTATTGAAACTCTAGCACAACTATTTCCTGCGGGATTATTAATGTTCTATTTTAATCTGTGCACCTCCAGAACCTTGAGGCAGTTCAGGATTGCCACTGACCCCTCTCATCATAAAAATAAAGATCTATCACTCTCCTCTAACTGGACCCTCATCAGCACCTCTCATGTCTCACCTGTTTCCCTGCTCCAACACGCTGATTCAATTATGTCCCAGTTCTGCAGAAGCGTTAATCACCCTTTGATTCAAAGCAGGTGCACTAATTAAGCTAACGTCCTCTTACTGCTTTGGGACATTTTCATTTTAGACTTTATGCATCTGCATGTTTTATACTTTGCGCATTTTGATTTTACTCATGCTTTTGCACATCTTGCATATTTGTATGTTTCGAACAGATGTGTGAACCCCCTGCACATATAGCCACCAGGTCTTATTCCCCGTGTAAACTTGGCAATAAAATATAATTATGTATTAAAATGAACTATTTCTGCTTTTGTGATAGTTTTATTGTGAAGTCAAATGAAACTGATTTTACAGACTAATAAACTTTTTTAAAGACATTTTTTACAACTGTACCAAAGCAGAGCCAGACGGCTGCTGCAAATCTGAGTTTGCATTTCTCACATCATCGTAACGTCACATCCTCCTTTAGAGAGCCAGTGATCCTCATTTTGGCATTTTATTTCATTCTTATGATGAGAAATTCATAAATATCTGGCTAAAATACAATTCAGAGCATGTCTTAAATAGCTTACCTGAAAAGGTTAATCAAATATGAACTTTTTACTAAAGAAAGTGATGTCATTCAAAACATAACATAAATGTTTTCTAAAAGAAAAAATGGTGAAACCTGCTACAAACTTGTAATAATCTGTTTGGCCTCTGTAAAAACAGACTGTGAGTCGAGGAGAGGAGCGCCGTCCAGTAGATGGAGACAGTTTTATTCACAACCTGCAGATACAGTATCAGCGTTGCCAGATAGAGTCGAAGTTTTCCAGCCCAAAAATCTGTTTAAAACCGCCACATCACACAAAAATCCACCCAATCAATACATTGTTACAGTATATTTACTGTTTGAACATGAACGCACATCAGTGCAAGCCAATGAAAATCTTCCCAGAGTTCCCAGCAAAATCAGAATGAAAACTGCCCAATCTGGCAACACTGTACAGTACCTGCAGGTCAGGATGTAAAGTAAGTCCAGTTTAAGCGTATGGTCGGTAATAAAATGCAGCGTAAACTGGAATAAGAGTTAAATTGGATTAAACGTTTACCCATGATGCCACCTGTCTCTGATCAGACAGAAAAATGCAACTCCAGCTTCTCAGCTAACAGAAACTCACACACAAAATAAAATGCATACAGTTGATCTATAAATATTCATGGTAAATATATATTTAGTTTCCACCGGTCGTGTTTGGTGTTGCTCAAAGCTTCCCATGAACCAGTCGTGGGCTTTAGGAGAAGGAAAGGCATCGTCGCTGCTCTCTGAGCAGGTCATGTCATGACATTTCTCCGTCTCTTTGCTTTATGGGATGTCCCGCGTGTTGCAGCAGCCTCGTCTCGTCACCACAGAGTCAGGTTATCGAGGTTAGCAAAACCTGGGTTCTCTCTTAGGTCCCAGTAAGTCCCAGTTGTCAACCACACGTCCCGTCCAGAGGAATCTTTGGCTTTTCTGTGGACGTTAAAAGGAAGCAAACTGTTATTTAACAACTTTGACGTGAACTTCGTCAGCAGTTTGACTCAGAAAAATGCTTATTTGTCACTTTAAGTGTTCCAGGAAAACAAGTGTGATGGCTAACTGCTAACAGTCTGCACAAAGTAGCTGTAACTCAATAACTCACATGAATATTGAGCTCAAATGTGGTGTGGCTGTAGCTGACAGTCTTATCCAACATACTCTAAGAATGCACGATATGCGTAAAATGTGCATAATGTTATTTTCAAGATTTTTCATCATAAAATGATCTTAGGTAAAAACTTTGGCTTTAATATAGTAATTTAGAAATGATCATTTATTCCAAAGAGGGGGCCGCGGACCCCTGGGGGGCCGCCAGGGGGCCCCAGAGAGCGGGAGAGAAGAAGATAAAAGAAAAGCCAAAATAAAAAAATAGTAATAATAATAATAATAATTGCCCACTTGGGCAATCTGTATCTGTAATTTCCAGATAAACACACTTGAGAGAGAAGTTAGATTTATTTTGTTTTGTTCTTCTCGTCAACAATTTGTTGAAAAGTTGTTTTTTTCAGTGGGAATATAAAACATGTTAGTTAATAACATTTTTATGCTCAGCAGCTGTAATAACTAATTGAATACAGTGAATCAAAGTGCAAACATTCTAAATGTGGATGTTTCTTGACATATTTTGTATCATTGTTTGTGGGCTGTTTGGGGGGCCGTGGCATGGAAAAGTTTGGGCACCCCTGATTTGTTCTATCCAAGCATTCACTTGAACGTGTTATATATTCAGTTAACAAAAGTGAAGAATCTTCTGAATAAAAATGTCAACCTTGTTCTTTAATGAAACCGTTGTGAGCAGTTAATGTTGAGTTTAACATGACGTGTCGTGAGATTTCCTCCTTCGGAGCCGCTGGGAATAAAGAGACGTGACAGTAATTGTTCCACTGATGCACAAAATAATGATATAATCTGCTTGAGATTATTCAGGCAAGACATTTCATTTAAACGGACTGAAATGTCACGATACACGTCGAAGCTGAGAGCAGCACACGGGATTTCTCTTTGCTTTGATGAAGACGCTCTGAATAATTTCATATATTTTACACATTTTGTGTCTCTCAAGAGATTTCCTGTTGTTTATTCTTTAGTCTGCATGAAGTAAGCTGAAAACATCCAGGGCAGAGAGGGTTTGGAAACACTCCCACTAAACAACTGGTAATAAATCAAAGAAAACTACATTTCTGATGATGTGAAAAGAAACAAACTTACTTGAAAAACTGTGGAACATGTTCTTGACCTCTTCTGGCGAGCTCTTTTCTCCGCACCCTCTGAATTTCTTCTATCTCGTCTTTCTTTCTGTCGGCTTCAGACACTTGTCCCTCCTCCAACATTCTGCAGAAAAGTTCAGGATGAACTTAAAACTGGTTTTAATGATTATTCACACTGTTGGGATCCAGTACTTTCTTATGTATGTTTGTTGCAATCAAGCTACTTCTGGTTTGTGGTTCTTTAGCCGTTCAGGTAGCAAAACATTCAGCTCATTCAGGCGATGGCTGCCATGACTTTTGTAACTTTTATACCTTTTTTAGAATATTTATTTTGTTTAAAACAAAATTCCCTGTAGAAATACATGGAGATCTTTTTAATTCTTTCAAAAACATAATTCTCTTTAAAATCTACTTCAACATAGTGGTTCTGTTTTTATACTTTTATGCTACTTTTAGCTACATTTTTAGCTTCTTTTTCTAGAATTTTTTTTTATATTATCATTTTTATATGCAAATTTTTATGCAAATTAAATAAATATAAGTTTTATTATATATTAATGATTATAACTTATTATTGTAAAAATTAACTTTAAGCTTTTAGCTACATTTTTAGCTTATTTTTTTAGATTTTTTTGTTAAATATTATTTATTTTTCTACATATTATATATCTAATATATGCAAATTTTATATATATATATATATATATATATATATATATATACAAATATTATTATATATTATTGAGTATAACTTATTTTAAAAATTAACTTTAACCTTTTAGCTACATTTTTAGCTTATTTTTTTTGTTAAATATTATTTATTTTTGTATATCATTATATATCTAATATATGCGAATGAAATATATATAAATATTATTATATAATATTGATTATAACGTATTATTTTACAAATTAAATTTTAGCTTTTAGCTACTTTTTTATAGCTACTATTAAATAACTTGCTATTTAACATATATTTCAATATTTCAGTTTTGTTACCATGCTACAGCTTTTAGCTACTGTTTTGCTTCTTTTAGCTTTGAGCTACAATTTTTCTAAAAGTAGCTACTATTTTGTTGTTTTTAGTTAATTAATTTTTAAATCTGTTTAGCTCATTTTAACTTCCCTTTGCTAATTTTAGCTACTGCTTTTCTATTCTGCTTGCTTGAAGGTAGACCACTTAGTTTCAGCTACTTCAGCAAACTTCAGCAAAGTTATTCAGCCGTCAGTATTCTCACTGTGCTTTTCCATAAAATGTTATTTCTGTATTTTGATGTCGTCTTTCCGTATTGAACCAACTGAAGCGACTTCCGACCTTTGGTCTGGGCGCAGGCGGGTGTCTGTACGAGGCAGGAGCGGCTTCAGGTCTGGGTTGAGCTCATTTAGCTCCATGGCGAAGGTGGAGAAGCCATAATACAGAAGGTAATCCTTCGGCTGGGGATCTGAGGAAGGACAGAAGCGTCTCGGTTGAACTGTCACACCAACGTGACGCTTGGATTTATGCTGATTAGGACTGTTGGCACTCCTAGTCATTTCACTTTCACTAAACCTTCCACCAGCATGTAAAGACCTGACAGAGTTGCACTGCTGACAAAAAAACTATGGAAGGTGACTCACTTGGCTTCCATATGCATTTTGGTGTTGGCAGAGTGTCACAGAAGATTCCTTCGTGCCAAAGACCTCCAAATCGATGAATGACATTGCCGCTTTGGTCGAGCACAGTTCCCTGGACCTCGTTCTTGTTTCCATCTGAACCCCAGTACCGAGACTAAAAAGGAAAAGATCCCGAGTAATTAAAAGCACCAGCTGAGTTTACTGGTGGAAGAGTTGTTTCATTCACCTTCACGAAGGTGATCTTGCAGGTGCAGACGTTGTTTTTGAGGTTTTGGATGGTCACCTCTCCATAATGCTCCAGATATCGCTGCTGGCTGAAGACATTATGGATGCAGGTCACCACTTTGTTCCACTCGTAGTGATCTCCGAACCTAAACAAACATCGTGATGAAGTCTTAACGATCAAACTGGAAGATTATAACAAAGAAAACGACAACATATTGTCTATAGGTTTGACAAGACCTCTATTAATCCACGTCAGGCAAATTTATGTATTTACAAAAGCAGAACCTTTTAGAAGAGAAACGATTTATTTTATAAATTAACTTTGTCGCAAACTCTTTTTGACACTTTTGCTTGAATCAATAAACCCACATGCAGATGTGCAGGGTGAGTAGTAGAACCAGCAGAGCTGATTTATGCAAAGTTGTTTTTTTCTTAAATACTGAGAACTGTAATATTTAAATTATATTTATTACAAAACATAAAGCTTTAGTGCTAACAAAATAAAAATTTATATATTTTTCTTTGAAGAAAGATATGTGATTAGTTGGGACTGTCTCAGCCACCACTGCACCAGAATGTAGCTCAGTTTGTATAAAGCTGATAGAGTTGTGGCTAATTTTGTGTTTACTAATGTTTAATAAGTGGTGGCCATCTTGGATCAGGATATGCTCCAATCAGTTCTAGATGTACATCCAGTTGTTACATTCGGGGTGTTTCATTAAAATCCGTCCTGCAGCTATTGAAATGTTTTTTTCTTGCAGAAAAACAAACACATCATCACTCTGTTCCTGTTAGTATATTTGATTCACAAAGCTACGGTGGCCTGGAGGTGTAAATGAACATTTGACAAAACGGAGTTACATTAAACCAAACTGGAAGTGGTGGGGGCTTTTTCTTTTTTAGTGTTTTTGTTATTTTTACTTTATTAACAACATAAAACAGAACAATATACAGCAGGGTCATTCCTACTATTTGGTGCCTTTTGAGTACCCCCCCCACCCCCCACCCCCATGCCTTCATGTGGTATATTTTGTTTAAAGGTGGGCTAATATTTATTTTATTAATCTCATCTTATATGTTTGACTCACCTCTACCATAAACACAACCATATGTACACTAGATGAATTTATTTAAAATAATTAAATCTAATTTTAAATTCAACTTGGGTTTACTGCCATGTCCCCGTTCATGCGTCCTGAAATTAAGTTACAATTCTAAGTAATAAAAATTAAAAAAATGTCATTTTTAAAATAATTTTTAATAGTAATATTTATAATAGTTTTCATCCAATGACTTTTGATGATATAAAAATATTTTTATGCTTAAATTATTAAAAATAAATTGAGTCCCTGAGTCAACTTCCAACCTGTTACTCTAAAATAACTGTCACCCCCGCTTTGGCTTAGTGTATTTATGTTTTTTTCACCACTTCCGCTTTGGCTACTTCTGCTTTGGCTCATTGTAATTCCGTTTTTTCATTATTTCCGCTTTGTCCACTTCCGCTTTGGCTTAATGTAATTCAGTTTTTTCACTACTTCCGCTTTGTCCATTTCCGCTTTGGCTTAATGT